ATCAGACCCCAGGGACTCTATGTCAATATTATTACCCTTAAGACAGTGACAGTGAAACTAAAACTGTAGCTGTACCTGTGCTGCATGATGTATGGGGTACAAAAATCCCCCCACTGAAATTGAGTGATTGGCCAGTTTGAATTGCTTTTGATCATTCAGTCATCTTGCTTACATTTACATTAAAGAGGCACTTGAGAAGAAAATAAACATAACAGTTATAATGAAATAACCACAAAATGTCTTTATAAAAGCAATGGTGATAAAACACAGCATTAAGATCAGGGCAGTGAATAACATAAAGTGATACATTCAAACCGGGGTAAATGTAATTATATACATTACAAATAATCATTACAGTGTATAAAAAGGGAATAAAAAGAGATGAAAAAAGACCCTAAAAATAGCCCATAGACAAAGGTCCGTCGTGATCTATTCCTGCAGCCCATCATTCAAAAATTCCAGGAAGTCAAACGGGGCAGAAGCAATGATCATAATACAAATAAGGTTCCAATAAATATTAGTCAGTCAGGCTGAATGAATGTCCGAATAAAATGAAAGCGGTTTCCTCTTCCAACACATGGAGAAGAAGCACGCTAAGAGGGATCATTGTCCTGTTGAAAGGTCCAACGTCTCCAAGCCTCAGGTGTGTGACGGACTGCATCACGTTTCCATCCAATATCTCCTGGTACTGAAGAGAATTCAAACCTTGCACAAAAGCTTCCCTGTACCTGCAGAAGCAAAACAGCCCCAAAGCATGATTGACCCTCCCACCATGCTTCACAGTAGGCAAGGTGTTCTTGTTATGGCCTAAAGGGTTGTTCTTGGAGCTCAAACACCCATTTAGTCTCGTTGGGAAACCATGGGCCCAAACAGTTCTAATCCAATGGTTTCATTGATCACACAGATACACTGAATTTCAGTGAAGATTCATTATGGTTTGTCCACATGGCTTTGGTTCGATAATGAGTGCTCCCTCGACCCCTTCTTAATGTTTGGAGACAGCAAGTAGTCGATCTCGTAGCGTCTGGTTGTCTGGCACAATATATTGTTTCGGCAGGGCAGTGTGCAGCAAATACACTACAAATTTACTATAACCCACATCTGACAAATCTTTGTTATCAGTTCCCAGATAAAAGATTGAAACGTGCTGACTTCTCTTTTCTACGTTCAGGTAGCGCACAGCAGTCGAAATCAGCATCTTCTTTCTGCCACGACAGGTAGCGTTTCAACAGTGCCCTTTGCCTTGAATTTGCGAATGATGCTTCCTAAGGTGTCTCTTGGTATGTTTAACATCTTTGCAATCTTCTTAAGCCATTGCCCTTCCTGTGAAGAGAAAATCAATTCTCTTGTCTTCCTGGACCATTCTCTTGCCTTCACCATGTTTGTAACCACACCAGTAAATGTCTAGAAGGAGCTGAGTATCACAGTCATTTTAAAGCTGCCTAATTTTAGTGCTTATTATGCTTGATTGCTTCGGTGACATCCACAGGTGAGTTGAATACCTGATGTGATGAAGGGCATATTTTCCTTTGATTACTCTTTGATTTATCCATCAGCATGGTGTTTTATCCATCTGCGCTATTTGTCCGTATATGAAGTGATCAAGGGTTGTCCCATTGTATCCCTTCTCTTACATAAACAATTGCTTTAAAATGTCGGCCTGATTATGGTAAGTTACAATCCCTCTGTACAATTACGCCTAAATTCTCATCATCTGTCCTTTAGGGATATTGGACAGCCATTTAGGGTGATGAAACTAAAGAGGGATGGCCTATTGCGATCTGTATATATCTCTTAGTTTCTACATCTTCTCTGTAAATATTTTTATTGCACCTGTTTGACCCTTTTAGTAATAAATTCTCTTTCTGAAATGTTGAAGCTGTAATTAAAAAACTCTTAATTGCAATTTACAAATCCCTCCCCCATTCCATAAAGAGCAAGATATCGTCAATAATCTCTTATAAAACAACCCGGGTTATACGGACGATTATTTCAATTATTATAGTGTTATAGCGATATTGGGAGTTTCCTCTTTCTCTGAACCAAAAGGAGGTGGTGGGCAGTGTGAAGGGTTAATTGCGTAATTAACCTGACCCAGTAACAATCGCTCAGGCTGCAGGTACACAGACTGTAGTCCATTAGCTGGAAAATCTTTGTGCTGGGTGCAGCTGGGCGTGGTATTGTTACGCACGTCACATCGCGGTTTGGATCGTCCAGTCCTTCGGTCACGAGTTTGGTGAGAGGGTCTGGGGTCTGATGCCGCGCTCGTGACAGAGACTACTAATGATCTTGAAGCTTTCATCCAATTATGCATCCGAACTGATCAGAGACTTACAGAAAGGAGAGATTGGGAATGTTTGGAAGTAATGGTGGCATACATTTCTCTACTAAGCAGTTCATTCAGAAGGATCGAAAAGTTTCTCCAGATTCTAACACATCCAAACCTATGCAGGTAGATACTATTAAGTAATCTAATTCTACTCAAGAGAAAGAGAAGACGTTTGGAGAACTTATGTCTATATTTTGGGGATTCTGGGTATTATACAGTTAATTGCCCCCAAAAAAGTTAAAAGAGCAGTTGCTGTGACTGATGTCATAGTGCCTGAACAAATTAACTCCATTACCCAGTCTATCTCCCCATTGATCCCTGAAGAAAACAAAGTTGGTTCTATACAGTCTCATTTTGTCATCCCTCTCAAACTTATCACTGAGTGCCCTGAATTTCTGTGTTCTATGCTGGACTGCAGTGCAGGGGGGGAACTTTATGGACATAGAGTTCACCCACAGCAATAGTATTCTCACAAGAAACAAATCTGCCCCTTTGATATAGAGACAATTGAGGATTCCGCTTTATCAAAAGGACCAGTTACCCATGAAATGGTTCCAATTTGAGGCTGACCATTATAAGACCATCAGCTTTCAGTTGATTACATCACCTACATTTCCTGTCATCTTGGGCATTCCTTGGTTTTCTACCCATAACCGCTCCATCATCTGGGGAGAACGGACTATAAATTTTACGTCTCCTCTCATTGTGAGGAACATTGTAAAGAACCATGTTGTACAAGTTATCGACCAATAAAAATAATGCCGATCAATTACCTCCTCATCGCCCATATGATTGTCCCATTGAACTGCTTCCAGGGGCAGAAATACCGTTTGGCAGCTTTTTCAGTCTGTCAGAACCTGAATTAAAGGTGCTCAGGGGTGGCTTGATGAGAATTTAGAGAAGGACTTTATCAAACCCTCAACATCTCTTGTAGGGGCGGGCAACCCTGTTCTTTGTTGAGTGAAAGGACTCCACTTTGCATCCATGCATTGATTTCAGGGACTTGACTAAAATCACTTTTAAAAACCGTTATCCACTCCATTTAATCCCTGAAATGTTGGAAAGACTCTGCTCTGCCAAAGTCCTTACAAAACTTGAATTACAGGGGCCGTATAACCTTGTATGCATTTGTCAGAGACAAATGGAAAACCGCCTTTAGAACCAGATATGGGCACTTCCGAGTCCCTAGTTACAGTAAAGGAAATGCGTATTTGCTCCCCTGCTGATTTTGAATGTTTGCCCACTCACAAAGAAATGATCAGTTTAAAAATTGAATGTTCGGTGTATTGTAACACTGAGAGACAGAATAGCAACAACAAATTCAAAAGGAGTGGCTCAAGAAGAAGCACATTAAGCTCCTGGAGTGGCTAGCCAGTCTCCAGACCTTAATCCCATTGAAAATCTGTGGAGGGAGCTGAAAGTTCGAGTTGCCAAACGTCAGCCACCAAACCTTAATGACTTGGAGAGGATTTGCCAAGAGGAGTGGGCCAAAATCCCTCCTGAGATGTGTGCGAACCTGGGGGCCACCTACAGGAAACGTCTGACCTCTGTGATTGCCAACAAGGGATTTACCACCAAGTACTAAGTCATGTTTTGTGTAGGGGATCAAATACATATTTCCCTCATGAACATGGAAATCAGTCATCATTTGTTCATGCATTTCATGCATTTCTGCTGAATTTGTTGTTGCTATTCTGTCTCAGTGTTACAATACACTGAACATTCGATTTTTAGACCGATCATTTCTTTGTGAGGGGCAAACATTCAACATCAGCAGGGGATCAAATACGCATTTCCTTCACTGCATACATGGATTCTCTATTGTTGCACCCATTTCTTACCAGCTGGACATTTTATATCGGATGATGTGATTGGAGCACAGACTTTTACATGGTGATAATAATGTGATAACATCCTCCAACTTTGAACCCTTAAATAGAAAGTGATAATGAGGGAGGAGTCAATACCCCAATGATGGTGGTCTTCAGGATCAGTCCAGTCTTCATCTTGGTTGTTCTCCCCCCATCCTCACTCTCTGACCTCTGGTGGGGCTCAGCCCCGCTGTTCTTCATGACTAAATCATGGACTAAATAAGGAAGTGCAGTACTTCTTGTGTTGGGAAGATGGCGATGAGTGATAGAGGGAGTGGGGACCCTCGTCCTATAATCCCCTCATCACTGTCCCTCCTATAAAAGACAGTTCTGGTTGTTTCCTCACTCTCTGACTAAGGTCCATGAATAAAGAAATGACCTGGTAGGAGATCAGAAGAGCCATTTCCTAGTTCCCTTGAGGGTGGAATTGTAAGCTCCTCAGAGACCAAGCTGCCTGATGTGGGCGGAGTCCTGGTTTGGGGGAACCAATCAGCTCCTGTCTAGTAATCCTCTTTGTCTTTGTATTTTAGTCCATGGCCGGGAGATGAGGAAAACCTCCGAGGATTGTCTCACTTTGTCTCCAGACTGGAAAGTAGAAGATGAGGACATCACAGAGTATAGTCCAGGAGAAAACCCGGCTCCCTCCAATGTCCATCCGGCACCACCCAGTGTAGATGGACCATCGGATTCCTTGTATCCTGAGGAACCTCAGACTGTGCGGGACCAGGACGGCCTTCCAACAGGGAAGAGGTTCTCCTGTCCTGAGTGCGGGAAAGGTTTCCGTTCTAAATACAATCTTAATGTGCATAAAAGGTCTCACACGGGGGAGAAGCCGTATTCCTGTTCTGAGTGCGGAAAATGTTTTTCACAGAAGTCTAATCTTCAAACACATCAGAGGCTTCACACAGGTGAGCAGCCATATTCCCATCCTGAGTGCGGGAAATGTTTTTCACATAAGTCCATTCTTTACGGACATCAGAGATTGCACATTGGTGAGAAGCCATATTCTTGTCCTGAGTGCGGAAAATGTTTTTCAGACAAGTCCATTTTTTTCAAACATCAGAAATCTCACACGGGGGAGAATTCATATTTCCTGCCCTGAGTGCGGGAAATGTTTTTCACATAAGTCCAGTCTTTTCAGACATCAGAGATCTCACACTGGGGAGAAGCCATTTTCCTGTCCTGAGTGTGGGAAATGTTTTTCACGCAAGTCCCATCTTTACACTCATCAGAAATCTCACACAGGGGAGAAGCCATATTCTTGTCCTGAGTGTGGGAAATGTTTTTCAGAGATGTCCAGTCTTTACAGACATCAGAGATCTCACACAAGGGAGAAGCCGTATTCCTGTCGTGAGTGCGGTGAATGCTTTTCATGGAAGTCCCATCTTGACACACATCAGAGATTGCACACAGGGGAAAAGCCACTTTCCTGTTCTGAGTGTGGGAAATGTTTTGTAAACAAATCAGGACTTGTTATACATCAGAGATCTCACACAGGGGAGAAGCCGTATTCCTGTCCTGAGTGCGGGAAATGTTTTTCACATAAGTCCCATCTTTCAAGACATCAGAGATCTCACATGGGGGAGAAGCCACTTTCCTGTCCTGAGTGAGGGAAATGTTCCTCACTGAAGTCCTGTCTTCCTGTACATCAGGGGTCCCACACAACCCTTGAGGTGTATTAGTGCCTTGAGTGCGGGAAATGTCTTTTAGATGAATGTTGCTGGACATCCCAGCTCTCATGTGGGGAAGAAGCATACCCTGATATACACCTCAGATATACTCCATGGCTGATCTTCATCATGGAAGAAACCGTTCATAAGGAGATCAGAGGTCACCGAAGACATGGATGAAGTGTGGGACCGGGTTGGCCATTGATAGCAGGAGAAGAATACCTTTCAATGGCTGAGTACATTTTGTGGTGTAAGCTTTTGTAACTTTTTTGTAACTTTTTAGAGATCTATTAAAAAAAATGAGTTGAATGAATGTGACCGGCATTCTCTCAGCTGTGATGAATATTGGATGTATTTTATTTATCTCACAAGGTTTTGAAATATAAAAAAAAAAAAGAAAAATATGTTTTTGTTTTCTTTCTTCATTTTCCAAAAACGTGTGGCAAACGAGATCTGCAAAATACTCACCATGCTTCTTATCAAATTCCTTGGGGTGTCTACTTTCGAAAAAGGGGTCATTTGGGGGGGTTTGGTGCTATCCTGGCATTCCAGGGCCTCCGAAACTGTGATAGGTAGTCAGGAAGTGTAATGAGGAAATAAAAGCCCTTTAAAAGCCTGAAGGTGCTTATTGGATTTTGGGGTCCTGTACTTGGCTAGACTGGCAAAACGTCTCTCACATGTGGTACCCCCATACTCGGGAAAAGTAGCAGAATGTACTTTGGGGAGTAATTCCACATAAACCCATGGCATGTGTGAGCAGTAAATCATTTAAGAGAAAATTTTGTGTGAAAAAATGTTTTTATTTATTTTTTTGTCATTTTTCTAAAAACTTGTGGTAAAAAATAAATTCTTCTATTGACTCAACATGCCTCTCAGCAAATAGTTTGGGGTGTCTACTTTCCAAAAATGGGGCGTTTTGGGGGGTGGGGGCATTCTATGCCCAGCATTAGAAGTTTATGCCACACATCACTCATTCTTCTAACCACCTGAAGATCAAGCCTTTTCTGACACTTTTTTGTTCACATGAAAAAAATCTGTATTTTTTGCTAGGAAATTACTTTGAACCCCCAAACATTATATATTTTTTTAAAGCAAACACCCTATTGAATAAAATGGTGGGTGCTGCAATTTTTTATGTCACATAGTACTCGCGCAGCGATATTTTCAAATGCAATTTTGTTTTAAAAAAGTACACTTTTCTTTCTTTTAATGCACAAAAACACAATATATTGACAATTATTTGGTAAGATATAAAAGATGATGGTATGACGAGTAAATAGATACCAAACATGACATGCTTTAAAACTGTGCATGCCCCATGCAATGGCGAAAAAACTGCAAACATTTTAATATCCATAGGCAACGCTTTAAAAGCCTTTACAAGCTACCATTTTAGATTTACAGAGGAGGTCTAGTGTTAGAATTATTAAGTTTTATTTTGATTTTTTAAAATTATTTTTACACTGTCCCTTTCATTTTTTTTTTATATCACTTTTAATTCTATCACAGGGAATGCAAATATCCCCGATAACTTCAATGGGCATTGTCATATATTCTTTTTTTGAGAAATCTGGGATCTATCAGACTCTGGATATCTCATCTGCCCTTACATTATCTAATCAAACCAAGATCGGTGTGATCAGATGCTTTCCCAATTTACAAATGGTGTTGTTTATATCCTGCGAAAGTAAAGTGATGAAATGCTCGTAGCTTCCGATTTCTTAGACTATAGAGATGATTGGCATCATTCTGGTCTCCAATCAGCTCTATGGTCAGCTGGCAGAAACACCGGCTGCATTCTCAGGTTCCCCCGATGGCACAGGACTGCCCAAAAGGCAGTGGAAGGGAGAGGGGGGCATTGTCTCCCACTGCTTGTAAAAGCAATCCTGCAGCTAATTAGCAACTAGGATTGCTTTTACATGAAAGCCGTCACCGGCTGAAAAAACTACACCAGGGTGATGCCTGCAGTTGTAGGCATCATCCTGGTATAACCATTCAAAGTCCAGTGATGTACCAGTACGTCGCTGGTCCTTGGGTATATATGCTATGTTCTTTTCTTTTTCTTTTTTTTATGCAGCCTGTGGGCTGAATGGAAAAAAAAGAGAAGAAATCTCTGGCAGAAAAAGTGTGTGGTGTGCCCACCATTAGAATATACCGCCCTGCATCCACCCACTTCTAATGGTGGGCACACATTAGGTCACACAGTGCCACATGCGCTAAATCCAAGATTGTACAAATGTCTACATAGTGGCACGCTTGAATAAAAATCCACATATAAGTGGTACCCCATATGGAAAAAGGATGACACCAAGTCTCAAACTATCTTGCCACTACTCCCCATGTAGTCTGGGCATCCGGGGGGCTCCACATGACTATCTTTTAACTTGTAAATCTGAAACTTACATGTATAGCCTGTTGTCCTCTCACAGGTTTTATACATCTTGACCCCATATCTGGCACGCTTGCTGGGGAGATATAGTTTGAATACAAGGCGGCTAGTAAAATTAATGAGGGACTCACCACACAGATGTTTTGCTGGGAGTATAGAGATTCAGGGTCACCTCAAGGACAACTGAGTGTGGTGTTGTTGAAATGCATAAAACACATTATACTCTCATATCTATGCCTGGCCATGGCAGCATAGAACACAGCATATGATGAATCGCGTCTGTGGACCAATTAATTTTTTTTAGTAATGCCATGTTGAGGGTTAGGGCCAAAAAAAAAGTATATTCGGAAACCGTAATGTGTTTCCATGTGAATGGTCTGGCAAGGTTTGAATTTGGGTTGGCGGCGATAAACTGTTGCGCATATAAATTGCTTTGATCCACAATCCATGCATACAGATCTTCCATGAAAAACAGCTCTAAAAAATCAAGGGGAGTAGTTAAATTTGCTTTTTCCACCTAAATACGGGCTTGGGCAGTGAATGGGGGAAGTTCAAGTGCTGCAGAATTTGTGGGCTGCCAATCGGAATTTGCAAGTACATCCAGAAGGATACTTGGGGCTCTACGGGCCTGTGTGCGAATTCTTGGTAGCTGCAGGACAATACTTGTGTTCGGCACCGCACCAGCTTGTACTGCACTTATGGGACTCGCCACATCACCAAGTGATACTGCAGTGCTGGTATGTGAAAGACCAGGATGTACTAGGCCGCTAGTGCTCGCCAGTTCACCAAAAGGTAGCGTGGCACTAGTACTGGCACTCTGCTGCATATGAGAGTCATCAAAATTTACTGGCAAGTGCTAACAGAGATCAGGCCTGATTCTGTGAACACTGCAGTTTTGTGTGCAATGTATCAAGTGACAGTGAACTACTGACACTGCACTTGCTGGGGGAGAAGGGGGGGTAAGCGTAGGGGCTAAACGCAGGTGCCGGGGCTGATCCCGCTAACGTTGCATTTTTGTGGACACTATACTAATGTGAACACTGGTATAGTGCTAGTCTGATCAAAGATATTGATCCGTTCAGACACTATACTAGCAATGGAGGTTTATTGTGTTTGAGCGTCTTCCTGGCAATCAAGGGGTTAAATGTGATTACTGGTGTACTGAGGGGCAATCTGATGTTATTTGGGGGTGGAGTGAAAACCACGGGAGCGCAGATCATGTACTGTGCCGCCCTATAGCAGTATTTCTGCTATAGGGCGGTCAGGAAGCAGTTACAGAAGCGGTTTGTGTTACGGAGCTGCATTACTTTGACTGACAATTTTGCAGTCATGCAACACTGCACCCAAATGAAATTTACGTCTTTATTTTTTTCCCACGGATTGAACTTTCTTTCAGTGGTATTTGATCTCCTGTGTGTTTTTAATTTTTTGTGCTATCAAAAAAAAATGGCCGACAGTTTTGAGAAAAAAACTATATTTTTAACTTTTTGCTATAAAACATGTCCAGTAAAAAAAAAATATATAAAACTCAAATTTCATCAAATTTAGGCTAAAATGTATTCTGTGACATGTCTTTGCTAAAAAAAATCCCAATACGTGTAAATTCATTGATTTACGTGAATGTTATAGCATTTACAAATGGCGGTATAGATACTGGAATTTTTTTCTTTAATACTAATAATGATGGCGATCAGCGACTTGTGGCGGTGATCAGCAACTTATGGCGGGACTGCAGGGCTGCGGCGGACATTCTGACATTGGGGGGAACTGATTTGGCATCACTGACATGCTCAGTGACACCATTACACTGGTCAGTGCAAAAAAAAAAAAAGCACTGACACTGTACTAATGGGACTGGGGAGGAAGAGGTTAACATTTGGGGGCGATCAAAGGGTTAACTGTGATGGGAGTGTTTTACTAGGGGGCGGAGGGATGTGCTTCACTGTAAGCACACTGATCGTGATGGCTGTGCTCAGCCATGAGCACAAACTGACAGGGAGAAGAACTGCATTGTAAACAATGCAGCTCTCCTCCCTGTCGGTGATCGGCAGTAATCACCGGGCTTCGGCGGGTAATTACCTGCTGGGACCCGTTGATTGACACCCGGGGCCACTATCGGAGGCACAGATAGGGTGGTCACATGCCTCCTACCCGGAAATACAGAATCACATCTATATATGTGATCCTGTACACAGGGGCCGCCCTGCAGCAGTAAAAGTACTGTGGGTGGTCCCCAAGCGGTTAAATTACAGCAAGAATTTGTCATGGCTGGATGAATAATCATCACATTTGTTCAACATATTACCTATAAGTGGACCCCTTAGTTTCTCTCCTCAGGCACGGTCTCATACTAATCCCTGAGATCATACTCCTGCAGTTATGAGTACAGTAGACATAGAACAACATAAGTCCAGAAAACCCAACAATATTAAATCAGCCAATGATTTAAAATGAAAAATACCACATTTGGCCTTTAGATGGCGCTAAGTATTTTAGTAATAATCTCCATCTAGTGGCACATGTGGTATTTTCCATTTTAAATCAATGGAAA